GACAAAGTAAGTTTTAACTTTGAGAAACGAGATATAAAGAGCAAAAAGAATCTGAAAGAGGAGGTTATGTTGCAGTCGATATTTTCACAGAAAATTGGCCGTGCAAATGCTGCTTAACGCTGTCGATATAAACATACACGTCGGAATTAATGATACACCGTTTAGTTACGCGTCAGTTGATTTTCCCAGGGCACTGCTTTTGTGCCTAATAGCAGCCGGGGGAAGCGTTCCATGGGGCACCGTGACCCGCCCGCTCAGGCGCACTCTTCAATATGTCACTGTGGCTAATTTCAGGGGCACACTACCGACCACCGGCGACAAAGTCGATTCCTTTCAACGGATTCACGTCCTTTCACTGGTTTTCAACAGCTTCGTTTGCTTCATTGCTTCCCTTGAGAACTTCACTCTGGTGCTTGGTCTAATTTAATAGTGATACATCTCTTAAAACGATGATAAAATGTTTGATCGTATAAAGTACTTGTTTGAGGTTGTTTTAAAGCCGGCGTGATAGTCGTCTTCATACGGTAAGATTTAATAACAAGTTTCAAAGCATTCGTACATTTTTAAAAATGAAAGATTAATTTGAATTGCTTTGTTCCTTAAATGACGAACATTTTAATTCTTTTAATTCATTTATTATTGTCCTTTTTCTTGTCTTTATTTTTCTTAAATTACAAGAAGCAGTGGAAACTAGTCTGAAGTGGTTTGAAATTATTGATTAAAGTAAAGGAATAGAATTGAAATATATCACGTTTTCTTTCTACAAAATTTTGTACGAAGCTTATTGTAAATAAATTGCATATTTTTACGAGGTATTTTATTTTTGACGAAACATGCTTTATACCCTCGTTCGGAAATAAAAATTGCATTACAAAATCAAGTTTTGAGGCTTCGTTCATAATTACATCAAAAACAATCGTTTTCGCGATGACGGTGGATTGCCAAATAACGGATGAAATACAGCCGGATGTAAACGAGTCAATATGTTACATAATTGTCAAACCAGTTAATTATCACACTGCAGGCTGTATCGTTTGTTCGCTTGTTCCCTGGCTGAATAATAAATGACAAAAGATAATATTGATTTTCAAAATTAAAACACCGACACACCAACTCGCGATAAAATATCTTTTTGAAACATGTTATCAAATTTTTCGCGTTATTTCTGTACAATTGAAACCCTAAATTGAAAATCCATAACTCTAACTCTAACCTAACCTACCAAATCCATCATCCGCGATATATTCCTCTAAATTTAAATTCTCAATTAATGCGACGTCACTTGAAATTTAACGAAAGCAAAAATAATTGGCCTTTTTTACTTTACAACCGACGACCCCAACCTCGCGATAACCTAACCTTGCAAAAATCGGCACGTTTCGAGCAACGTGGACGATACGAGCTTGATCGATATCGGGCAGCCAGGCATCGTTGACTGCACAGAGATCCGTTCGATCGAGGAGGCAATTAATTACGGAAGATGATCGGTAATTAACAGTAACTGGAGCCGGATAACGTTCATACGGTACGCTGATACGAAATTTACGACGCGCCTCGGCTGCGGCTGACTCTTTATGGTGGGGTGTGCTCGTGACGTGAATTATTAGCCCTTCGGTCCTCGAGACTGCCTCCGGGGGTTGAGTTCGTGGAATGGGCGTGGCTTAGTCGGCAGGCGTGGCCTCAGCATCACCCTCGAAAAACCGCCAGCCACCCTCCCCCGTCCTCAGGAATACATCGAACGATTGATTCCGCGCGGATTCACTTTTCTTACACGCTTTGATTTCTTTCTGGACGAGGAAAGCTTGTTCTGCCGTGGAATTCAGTGACACAACCCCTTTCTTTTTGCAAAAACAATTCTATTGAAATCTGTCGTAACAAATGTTAAGTTTAATCGGTTATTTTCTGAATTGTTTGGTTAGATTAGGTAGGTGGCAGAGTAGAACGCTCAAGGTCTAGAATTTTTGATCGAATTTACCAATTAAAGGATTATTTCATTTCTAGTAAAACAGTATACTATTATAACCTCTAAAATTTCCAAAGAAGCTTCAATGTCTGTGGAAAACAGCTTCGGGAAATTTCTTTCAAAGTTCTAGAAACGAACGCTCGTTCTTTCGTAACCTCAAAATTTTTAAATAAAAATACTTCCTTTCTTTAAATCAATCTTCCTCTAAACTTAAAACTTCCAAAAAGTCATTTTTATCCGAAATTCCAATAGAAACCCATTCCCCATACCTAAGAACTTCCAAACATCCAAAAACGCCAAAACACGAGCTGCTTGTTGTACAAAGGAACTCGGTTTCCGTGTTCAACGAAGTCATAACGGAAGTTCCCGTGGTTCAAGGCTGTTTCCAGCATCTTCCCTCGTGAAGAGCAAGTAGTACAAGCGTAGGATGGAGCGACGCGAGGCTGTAGGAGGGAAACAGACGCAGAAAGGGTCGCGACGGGACTGAAGGAGAAGGGGGAGAGAGCCTTCGCCATCCTCCCAAAGCTCGCGTTTGTACAGTGGTAATGGGCTGTCAGGAGCAGACGTTCGCTGCTCGTGCCTTATATACCAACACCATTACGCAACTCTTGGGTCGGTTCCTATCGGCTTGCTCGTATTATCAACCCCTCTGATTGCGTTTCCTACCTTCGTACTACTCCTTCACCCTCCTCCTCCGACCGCCTCCTTCGATAATATCTACCTACCGCCGCTCTGACCGGCCAACTGCGTATAAAACTGTGTCCAGAAGAGGGTGCCAGAATGGCGAATCTTTGAAAAGTAGAATTTATTAACCTCAATTTTAGAATACAATAAGAGAATAATTCTCTTTGTTACCGTTTCTCGGCAACGAGTGAAATTATAAGTATAGTTGATTACGAAACTAAACGGATGATACTTTTAGGATTTGAAAAACACGATTAACTCAAATTCCCAAAATTTTCATTTACACTACTTGATCTTCGGCCCGTCGATTGTTAGTGTCGTTGGTTTTAAGTTAGTTTTTTTTGGTCCGTGGATTTTTACGGTGTTCGGTACGTTTGAGTACTTCGAGGTTATTCAATACTGTTCTGTTGTACTTTTACGTTTCAGAGTTATGATTTGTATTGCGTTAATGTATTAGGCGTTGTTTGTGTAGATAGTTTGTATAGGTTTAGAGATTAGGACCGTGTTTTTAATCTTACCATCATGATACTCGAATAAATTTTATATTTAATTCCCTCTCCTGAACTATTTGAACATTCACTTCTCTTTATTTTATGTTAAAAGATTCAATACTTCATTCACTGTGTAGAAATATTTAGAATCTTAACTCTCAATTGTTTTGACTATTATAGTTATTACTAACAATTATCGCTTGAGCTACGTTGACCATAGATTAGGTATAACTTCATCTATGCTTTGATCAATGAATTTACAATTTTGATTCTTTTAAAGAAAAATTATGCTTTTACTCTATTCCTATATATCCAACAAATTGGAAGAAATAGAAAAAAATGGAAAAATTAAAATCTTAATTACAATATTGGTAATCTACCAGTAATTCACATAACTTTAATCTAGACAAAATTTTGTCTCAGCTAGCAAATTTGAAAAATGTACATATTCACCAAGTTGAATCAATACTTGAAGACTTCGTTAGAAGTTTAACATACCTCAGTACTTTTTACTTAGGTTACATCTATTTTACCAATGTCGTTTATTTTTTCAATAATGTACATATACATATAGGCGCCATTTTGTTCACTTTTTTTCATCTTCTGTCGTTCGTGAGGAGCGAAAATCATCACTTGGAACTTCCACCGGTGCCACGTGTTCATCGTTTGCCCCCAACGTGCCTTTCCCTCCCGCAGTGATCAATACTGCGAGAGGTCTTCTGCACGGGACAGGTATGCTGCTGGTCCAGATTTCAGCGTGAGAAACAATGCGGATAAAAAAGAGCAGATTCGTCGGAGTCGTGTCCTTGAAAATTTTTTTACCTACTATCCGTCTTTATTTATCAGTCAACTACAATTTTCAAAAAACATTTTCACGAATATTTTCGTATCCATTTTTCTTTTCCATTGGAACGTTTGTTTTCAAGAATACAATTTAATTCTAAAATTAAATGTATCTTTATGTTGTTGGAGGAAAG